GCGCACACCTCCCAGTTGATTTTCGGGCCTTTTTAGGCCTCCTGGAAATACTGGAAGTGACAAAATGAGCCCATTTTTCGGCCTCCAAAGGCTGCAAGACTTCCCTCGAGCCTCTGGGAGGCCGAAAAAGGCCCAACATTCAGCTGGGAGGCACGCACATGTGCAGTGCAGGTTAGGGGGGGGGGAGGATCACATGCGCATGTACAGAGGGCGTGTGGGGCCCCATGCGCATTGCCTTCTGGGTGCTGACACGAGGGCATGCGCGCGTGAGCACGTGCACAATTTTTGGCACAGGAGCCCAAAAAGGTTAGCCACCACTACCCTATACTATTTCAGACAAATGGTTGTCCAATCTCTTCTTAGAAACTTCCAATGTTGGAGCATTTACAATTTCTGGAGGCAAATTATTCCACTGGTTAATTGTTCTTACTGATAAGAAATTTCTCATTAGTTCTAGGATGGTTCTCTCCTTAATTAGTTTCCATCTGTTGCTTCTTGCCCTGCCTTCAGGTGCTTTGGAGAATAGCTTGATTCCCTCTTCTTTGTGGCAGCTCCTCAGATATTGGAACATCATGCCTTTAGAAGTTTTGGATTTTTTTAATTGAATGTGTATTTATAGTCCCCCAGCTGTTTTGAAACATGTATTGGTAGTTGCATGGGGAATCAGCCTGTCAGTTGGTTATAATTATAGCTCCATTTTGAGAAAAACCAGTGATTAAAATAAATTTGAAAAATTTGAAAAATATACTAGCTCACTTCTTTAATACAGTATTAAATGGAGTATATGGAAAGATACTTCTCCAGACTTTAAAATAATTGCAGTGCTGCAGAACTATTAGGTGATAGTGCATGCATTGATTTGAAAATATGAAATTATCCAACTTCATGTTCAAATCCCAACTAAACGGCTCCTTATTCCCTTAGGTTGTGATGACTTGATCAACTCCATCTTTGAGCTGGGGAAGAATCTTTGCCGACTGCAGCTGTCTGATGAAGAGGTAGCACTCTTCACTGCACTTGTCCTGTTCACACCAGGTATGTGATCAAAAGGGAAAGAAACACTGGATTAACACTTGTCACTGTCCAAAATGAATGGATAGTTGGTTTATCTAGGAACATTTTATTCCTCTTAGCCAGTGATGACAGCTGTTTCCCAGAGTTTACAGAGTTACTGAAGACACCTGGCTGAGTCAGGATTGTCCATTCTCCAGGTAGATAGCTTGGACTTTACATGTCTGGGACTAATTTTCATTAGTTCCCATCCCATGGCCAGTAGTAAAGAATTGTGGGAGTTGAAGTCTAAAGTATTTGGAAAGCACTAGTTTATTTTGGGAGTTTATTGTGACTGGCAATAGATCTTCAACATCTCCAACGGAGAGACAATTGGAACCTGCAAATGCTAGAATTTCCCATATGCCCATCAGGTTTCCTGTCACCTAACTATGTCTCTTCTGGGAAGAAATAGAACATGATTATAGAGCAGAGATGGGAAGTACTGTAGTCTGTAGAACAGAGATGGGTAATATTGTTGTCTGTAGATACAGTTAGTACCATAGACCAGACCTGGGCATTTTACAACACGTGGTACACATCTGGCCCACGGACAGTTCCAGTCTTGCCCAAGGTATTGGTGGCAAAGTGTGAGGCATTTGGAGCAGTGGGACAAGAGGAGGATAGGGTGATGGCAGTGTTTGGCACTGGCAGGAGTAGGACGATGGTGGCCCTCCAAAATAGGCCCAGTTTCTCATGTGGCTTCTTGGGAAAATTAATTGCCCACCCCTGCTACAGATTATAGAACAGAGATGGGTAAAAGACAATGTTAGACTGTCACTCTGATCTTCCCTACCATGGCCCTGATGGTGCAGCAGTTAAAATGCAATATTGCAGGCAAACTCTGCCCACAGTCTGGAGTTTGATCCTTTTCCACCAGATCCTTCAAGATTTCTTAGAATCAACAGTTGTAATTCTAGTTCAAGTGAATGGCATCAGGTTGGCTAACATTTCTTGAGGGGGTTAATGTGTTATTGACATCCTCTGCAACATGTGCTCACATTTGCACACTTATTCTCTCTCACACACATATTCACAGAGACTGGGCTTAAACGTTGGTTTTAATTATGTTTTTTTTCCTCAATAAGTCACAATAGTTGAGTTTCCATGTTCCCATAAGCCATAAGCCATGTTCCCATAAGTTCCCATAAACTATGTTTTTATCAGCCACACTGAATTATAGCTAGGCCTAAAATAAACAAATCATATTATGCCTTAGTGCCATTTGTGTACTTTGTGAATCTCACTTCATACACATTCACACTTTCTGTAGAATATTTGTTATAGTTGAAAATAACAGAAAGCAGATTATTTTTCCTGCAATTTTGCAATTGTAAAAAAATTCCAACACGTGTTGTCCTTTTTCAGATCGGCCTTGGCTCTCTGAGTCCAAAAAGGTACAAAAACTCCAGGATAAACTCTACATGGCTCTCCAGCATGAGATTCAAAAGAAAAATGCCAATGAAGACAGACTTTCCAAGGTAAATATAACATTTTAAAGAGTTAAATGGGAAGGAGGCAGATTAATACACAAGAGAAAGTTATTGATACACACTAGGGCTAATTCCAAGGTTTCCAAACATTCAATAGCTATTGATGAGAAAATAAATTAAACGGAGGGAGCTCAGAACAACCCTATTTGGCTTGAATAGGCCAAATGTTGGCTAACTCTTGAGTCCAGGGAAATGAGGGATAGATATAATGAATGGGGAACCCTTGGAGGCAGACAGGGCTGTTTGCAGGAAGGGTCAAAAAAGTCAAGATGATGGCCACAACCATGCTGTCAGAACTTTGTCTCTTTTTACATGTGTTGACACATAACATGGCTTGATGGCATGGTTTTTTCACCTCCCTGCAGGCCCCTTAGGAGACAGATGTCACGGAATGACATACAAAGAGAAGGCCATCTCTTGAAATTAATCCTTTAAAGGTTGGGGTGTTTCCTTAGTTCTTTTTCAGCATGCAATAGAGCCGTGGTGGCAGACCTATGGCACATGTGCCACAAGTGGCAGGCAGAGCCATTTGTGCTGGCATACGAGCCGCAGGTAAACTTACCTCACCAGGCATACAGCTGGTTTTTTTTCCGGTTGGTTTGAGGCCTTTTTCGGCCTCCCAGAGACTTGGAAAAAGCCTCTGCAAGGCTTTTCAGGATGAATTATAGGTCCATTGTGTCACTTCCTGTAATACCGGAAGTGACGAAATGGGCCTATAATTCAGCTTGAAAAACCTTGCAGAGGCTTTTTCCAAGCCCCTGGGAGGCCGAAAAAGGCTTCAAACCAGCTGAAAAATCAGCTGTGAGGTGCAATGCAGGTAAGGGGGGGCAGGAGGGGGGGTTGCGTGCATGAGCAGGGGGCGTGGGGAGGGGGGCGTGCATTGCATTCTGGGTATTGGCACGCTAGTGCGCACGCAGTTTTTGGCACAGAAGCCCAAGAGGGTTAGCTACCACTGCAATAGAGAGTGCATTACAGCTAATCCTTGAGGTGGCCCTCGAGACACAAGCGTAATGGAGCCTGCCCATTATGGTCACAAGTGGTGATGCCATTAAGTGAGGCGGCCTCAATTAATGACCTCCACCTCCTCCTCTCCCTAATGCAGCTGTTAGAAGAATTTGTGGGAGGTTAAGCAGAGCACAGAGTGAGGGAGACCCTTGGAGACTGTGTTAAGGAAGCGAAATGGAGCAATTCAACCTTTGGCTATGCAGCGGCCTCATGGAAGCGGACACCATTTTGGTCCACCTGCAAGAAATTGCGGCTGCACTAAAAATGATGGCCACTTCCAGGACGCAGCCATATGTCCTAGGGAGACATGGCCTGACCTCCTTTCCCAATATGAGGTCTGGAGTTCTTCACAAGATAAGTGTGCAATGGCTGACAGGCTTGTGGGGAGTAGGCCCAAGGCCTGTGCAGTCCCGGAGACACAAGATGGGGTGGAGAGAGGGAGAGGAGCATTGCAGCATCTCTGCACTCGATCATAAGGGCGAATGACTGCAAGAGCGCTGCAGGGCCATAACTTTGAAATGGGGTTGTAAGTAGCTTGGTGGGGAGGATCTATTATAATACTCATTAAGTGATCCGTCCTATCTCAAGGACTACTGCACAAATAGTCCTCGATTTACAATCACTGCTGGGATCAGAATTTCTATTGCTAAACAAAGTGGTTGGCAAGTAAAGCGTGCCCAATTTACAACCTTTTTTGCCACAGTTATTAAGCAAGTCACTGCATTTATTAAGCAAATCACATGGTTGTTAAAGAAATCCAGCTTCCTCTATTGACTTAATTTGTCAGAACCTGATGGGAAGGTTACAAATGGCCCAAGACACAGGAGGAAAATAAGGAAAAAATAATTCTGCCTCTGCCTACCAGCATCTATCGGTATTCATCTCACTAGCTTCCTGTCAGTGTGTGAGAGAGTTGAGGGCTGTTTGAAAACCGAAACAGTATTTGCTGTGTGAAAAAGGAGACAGCAAGGAGCCTGGATGTGGCTTAGCTCAACTGTTCTGTATTAAAGCTGGTTGCTGCTGTGAAACTGAGGCTGAAACTCCTCTCTTCTGCTTGTGTTTTGCATTTGGAACAGATTTCTTTTCAGGTGGGAAGGGGGAGTAGAACTCCTTAGCATCAGAGCGTGTTATTAATAATACATGAAATACTAATGCTCTGATGGTCATTTCAAAAAATCCTTTCTTAATGAGCACCTAGAAGCCAAGAGAAACATACATGCCAAATTTCAAGTTTGTAGGCTTTACGGTTCTGGAGATTTTGTGATGAGTGGGTATTTCGCTTTTATATATATTTTAGATATGCGGCCATATACATTCGGTTTCCTTCCTCTGTTTCTTCACTGTTAGATCTCACTTTGAGCCCTACTATCTAACCACAAGTTGTTCCCAACTGTATTCTGAATTTCAATGAGAACTTGATAGAGTTTCATGAGATTTTGGGAGGGGAACATTCAAAAACAGCCAAATTTCTATCATGCAGCTTTGCTTCTCAATCGGGAGTTCCAGATTTTGTTTTTTTCAATTAACAGCCTCCAAGGTCTCTGCTCTAACCCATTTCCTTTTCCTTCCCACAGATGGTTGCCAAGCTCCCCTTGATGAAGACAATCTGCAGCCTCCACTTAGATAAGCTGGAGCTTTTTCGCCTTGTCCACCCGGAGACGGCCAAAAATTTCCCTCCTCTCTACAAAGAAGTGTTCAATTCGGAGCTCCATTACAGCAACTCTCAGGAGAGCTAAAGCAGAATTTGCAGAGCAAAACTTTTTGTGGCTTCTGGAATGGAGAAAGCAGAATTGACCCCGTGGTTTATTTTAAATCAAGGATCAACCACAAGATTGTGTGTCTCTGGCTTTCCTCCTCCTCCTCAACCTCTTGCAGTTGATCTGCGGTGATCTGCAGTCACTGTTGAATGTAATTGCACCTTTTTAAGGATCCAGCGGACTTTGGGCATACTGGTGAAATGAATGTGAAATGCTATTCGGTAGAGAAGATCCTGCATTAAGTAGTGTTAAGTATTCCTATCCTTTCCTCAAAAGCATGTTTTTGCAGAACACATTTCTCTGCCCTAGCATGTGAATACATCCACCCAAACTCATGAGACTTACAGCCAACTGATGCCCAACCCAAGAATGCCTCTTTAGGCCCTACCCGTGTGGATAAATATGTATATTTTTGCTGGTTTCTGCTTTTTTCCTGGCATGGTTCGAATGATAGGGACACTGGATGTACAGAAGGAAAACCAGTTCTTATGGACTTGTTCAACGTGAGGATGGAAATACGTGGGAAGAAAAACACAAACACACGCATACACAGGGATTACAATCCTGCCAAATTATGGGACAGAGGTGGTGGGGAGAAGGAAATGTGGGGGAGGAGAACTTTTAATTTAATTGTGTTTCCAGCTCTCGGGGGCAGCTGGAGGGCTGGACCCTCTAAGAGAGAGAGAGAGAAAAAAAAAAGAAGCGTAAAGTTCTATTGCAAACCAAGTTGTCTTTCTCATCAACAAACACTGCTGCTATCAAAGTAACTGGAAAAGCATCAGTTTAAAGAAAAACACCAATGGCCTCTGGATGACGTTGGACTTTGGCACCCATTATCCTCAGTGATTGGCCTGGCTGGCAAGGATGGATATTGAAGCTAAACCATACCTGGCTGCCAAGCTAGATGATGAATGATGCAATTGCTTCTAAAGCAAGTTTTTAAAAAACACGCAAGTTTTAAGATGTGCGGACTTCAATTCCCAGAATTCCCCAGCCAGCATGCTAACTGGAAGTTGAAGTCCAGATATCTTAAAACTTCCCAAGTTTGAAAAATACGATTCTACAGCAACCAGTCTCTTATCTTCTAAGGCTACTGATACATTATGTTTGTTTTTTCTCCATGTTATAACCCTTTGGGAACCCAAGAAAGCTTCATTCAACTGCAGAAGCCTATTAGAAGAAGACCTTGCTTGGTTTCGGTCCACCACGTGGATGATGAACAGGTCTGCAGCTAAATGCAGAGGCCCTTCTTTTGGTCCTGCCCAATACTGTAGAATCAGCCAGATGACAAAAAGACCCACACAATTGCTCACATTTGTAAGGTGGTTTGTTTTTCTCCTGTTCATACTCAATGGCACCTCCAACACTGGTTTAAAAGACATGGCTGCTTTCTTCAAACTAATGGCAACACCTGCAACCTTTCAGATGCTGCTACATGCCAAAACAAATAGTCCTAAACTTATGACAGATTTACGACCACAATTGGGACCAGGAATTTTGTTGCTAAGCAAAGCGGTGGTTAACCAAATCGTGCCCAAGTTTATAACCATTTTTGGTCACGGTTGTTAAATGTCTCACTGCAGTTGTTAAGTGAATCCAGCTTTATTGACTTCGTTGGAAGGCAGTTGGGAAGGTTGCAAATGGCGATCACATTGTCCTGGGCCAGTGCAACTGTCATAACTACATGCTGGTTGCCAAACACCCAAATTTTAATCATGTGACCCTGGGGAACGCTGTGATGGTCATAAGTGTGAGGACTGGTTATAAGTCTCTTTTTCAGTGCTGTAACATTGAATGATCACTAAACGAATGGTTGTAAGTCAAGGATCAAGGATCACTGGAGGCTTTCAAGAAGAGATTGGACTGCCATTTGTCAGAAATGGTGTAGGGTCTCCTGCTTGGGCAGCAGGGTGGACTAGATGACCCACAAGGTCCCTTCCAACTCTGTTAATCTGACTACCTGTACCCTGTTGGTCCTGTTTGGTGGTGTTTCTGGCAGTGGTAGTTTTACAGTTTATGGAGGGCCATCAATTCTTAACTCCTTAAAGTAAGCAATACCATCACTGTGGGATCAAGGAGAGAGTGGTATATATCTTTCCCTCAACTCTCAGCTCTCTGAATTAGCCTGTGGGGTGGATCCTCAGCTACCTTAGCAAGGCAAGGCATACAGATAGTCCTTGACTTACAGCCACAATGGCCCAACATTTCCATTGCTAAGTGAGACAGTTGTTAAGTGAGCTTTGCCCCACTTTGCAACCTTTATTGTCACAGTTATTAAGTGAATCACTGCAGTTGTTAAATTAGTAACACGGTTGTTTAGTGAATCTGGCTTCCCCATTGACTGCCTTTGCTTGTCGGAAGGTCACAAAAGTTTATCACCCCAGGGACACTGCAACCACCATAAATATGAGTCATTAGCCAAGCGTCTGAATTTTGATCACAGGACCTTGGGGAAGCTCCAGCGGTGATAAATGTGAGAAATGGTCATAAGTCACTTTTTAAGTGCCGTTGTAATTTTGAATGGCCACTAAACGAATGGTGGTCAATTGAGGATTATCTGCAATGGTATTGCTGCATTGCTCAGATACTGTAAAAGAAGAAATTAGATGTCCAGAATTCCAAAAAATACTCCATTTCTACCAGCCCTGTGAATTATTCATCCAGTTTATGATCTTGCCTTTTGCTTCTTTAGTTTTTACCCAAGGTTGAGATCAATTCTACATTCCCTTGACTCTAAATTCCTTTTAACTTCTCAATCTGTTGTATAACGATTTCTCGGGAATTCACTATTGCTCTCTGTAAAAAAAGGACTTTTGCCTTTCAATGAAACAGTTATTTCATTTGTTCTTCTTTTTTAGCTGGTGAGCTAAATGGTGGGAATCTTTGACATTACAGGCTATGAATCACCATTTCTATTTCTGTGGGTTGAAACAGTGGGGTGAATGAGTTCTTGGAGGCATAAAGATGGTGCCTCTGCAGCATTCTGGTGGTGGGTTAGAAGAAATTTAATCTTTTATCTGTGTAGGTCAGTGTATCTCAGCCTTACCAACTTGAAGATGTGTGCACTTCAACCCCCAGAATTCCCCAGCCAGCCGTACTGCCTAGGAAATTCTGGGAATTGATGTATAGACATATTTTAAGTTGCTAAGGTTGAGAAACACAGGTGTAGGTGGAGGACATGAATACCCTTACCTGGAACAGACAAAGCATTGTTTACTTCAATTTAAAGCAACAGGAAGTGCTTCAGATTACAAGCAGGAGGGATTCCCAATCCATTGTGGCTTGACTTCTTGCATTGCAGGTTTGATTCTCCTATTGCTTGCAAAATGCACTTTTGCCATCTATTCTTGGGTCAAATGGCAGCTTAATTTTTTTAACGGAAAGAACGGTAACAGAACCATGGCCAGAAGTTATATTGAACAATCTCTTGTGAGCTAAATGTATATAAAAAAATCTTAACATTCCTTTTTTTTCCCCTTACAAATCACTGCTTATGTTATGCTGGCAATAAACTATATGTTTTTGGCTTCCTCTCAGCCCCAAATGGGACTCTTACTTTTAAAAAAAAATATGCACTTTTCTCTTTTCCCCCAGTTACAATTTTTAAAAGTATTCTTTGATTAGTTGGCATGTATTTGGTTGTACAGTGCCAACATATCAACATGTCTCTATCATATGGTGAGATAGGAGCTTTCATGGAGTTAAAATCCAGAGGCATTTTTCTTTTTTTTTTCCTGCTTTGTAATAGCTGGTCTCAGCTCATTGGTCGATGGCTTAAATTTTCCAACCAAAATGCAGTAGGCTCTAAACATTAATCAGAAACAAATGTTGTGTATTTTAGAGCCTATCGACAATAGGAAGAAATTGAGACAAATTTTCCAACTTGTGAAAGATTGATTTAGTAATCATTCCTTTACCCAGGGAACTAGAAGACCTGTGATTTGGAGTGCATCTCTTAAAAAAAACAATTTCAAGCCTTTTGTTCGAGTATAGTTGCTGAGCTTGACTACAGAAAACCATAACAACCAAAATTGTTTGAAACAAGCATAAGTTTGTAGAATAGATAATCCCTTTTTTAGTTGTGAACCATCCAAAATCTGGAATTTGATTCTGAGCAATAAAATGGTGACAGCGTAGGAGAGAATTACTGTGCGTGAAACTCAGCACCTCCGTACATACCGGTATATTTCTGGAACGTGATTCCTGGAGCAAATCTTCTGAATTCTCAATTTCTAGAAAGCAAAAAAGATTTGTTTCTAGCCCATGACTCACTATGAACCTAAAAAATAGGTTATAAAGAAAGAACGTTTAGTGGGCAACAGTTTTTCGGGAGTTTATAAAGACATGAATTTTCAGGCCATACAATGAAGGGCCATTCCTTCCTAAGTGATGCTTTCTATATAGTTCTACATAAACACATGCATATATACCTATATAATTCTTTTTTAAAAAAAATGAAAGCTTAGATGTGCATTTTATCACCTCTAGAACCCTCACACTACTCTGTATGAAGAGAGAATAAGGTTGATTGGTATAAAATATTTATACTTGTGAATATTGGTGCAAACAGAAAAACCCATACATCTGCAGTATGGTTTTTATGCTTTCTGTTTTGAATGAAACATAGGGTACCATAAGTGTGCATTTATTAAACTGTATGTAGATCTTCCCAACTTGGTGCTCTGCAAAAATTTTGACTTCAGGGCCCATAGTCCTCAGCCAGCAGGGCTATTGGAGTGGGGAAGGATGCATCACACACATACACACACATTAAAGTACAGACAAGAAAATAATTTTAGACTTAGGGTGAAGAACAGCTTCTGTTTGCATTGAATGTTTTGTTGTGTAAAATGGTAATTTCTATTTTTTTAAAGGAAAAGAAGTCCTATACTTTCTATTAGGGGCCAATTTGCTTTGAAACATGAAAGCCTAAATGTTTATTTAAAAGCGGGGAGGGAGCAGCGCAGAAAAACAGGACTTTTTCAGAAAAACTTTAAAAAACAATGTTATGTATTTAAATAAAATGTTTCGATAAGATGTCTAGAAAGATAGATGTATACAGTATTACACAAGAACGTTTGAGTCGAGCAAAATAAAAGTGTTTTATGGAATGGAAAAATGGGATCGAGTATTTTTCCCCACACTTTTTTGTATTTAAAAACAATAGTTACAAATAACCGCCATTTAGTATGTAGCATGGAACAAAGGTGAATTCATCGCTCTATATCTGAGCTATAAAGTGCCATCAGTAATGTGGTATTCAGATAGTGTGCTAAATCAGCTGTTTATTAAATTTTTATGTCGCCTATCTTACTGTTAACAGCAATTCTTGGCAGCGGTTTGATTCATTTTAGTTTCTTCCATTAACTATGATTCCTTGAGTGTAACTGGATTCACACGTCATGACATTCTCTAAATCAGTGTTTCTCAACCTTGGTGACTTGAAGATATGTGGACTTCAACTGCCAGAATTCCCCAGCCACTTATTTTGGGGACATTCTTGGACAGAATAAATTTGCCTGTCTGAAGTTATTTCTCCTGTCCCACAATAGGTGTGCAAGTTCAATTCCAGGACCCTACATGACACCATCACCACAGAGGAAGCTAATTATCTCTGGATGAAATGAAACTAGGAATAGAATTGATTTATCTGTGAAACATGAATTATTATCTGCAAATAGTAGAATCTTAGGCTCAGTACTTATTATTCTATCTGTGTCAACATTTCTAGTTAAGCGAGCAAGAATTGTAAAGCTACATTAATAGAATTTGAATAGAATTCGAATAGAATAGAAAATAGGATAGAGTAGGGTAGGATAGAATAGGAATATAATATAATAGAATTGAATTCTTTTATTGGCCAAGTGTGATTGGATACAAAAGGAATTTGTCTCCAGTACTTAAGCTCTCAGTGTACATTCAAACAACAGAGTGATAAGTCATAGATCATAAATCATAAGATACAATTGATAAATCATAATATACCAATAGAAAGAAAGTAGTAGGAAAGATGACAGGTGAGGAAGATGAGAAGATGACAAGGATAATAGCAATATAACCTACTACATGGGTAATTTACAATAAAATAGATAAAACATATATAACAAAAATAACAGCATTCTTTAAAAAACAGCCATTAATACGAACAGGAGACAGGCTCTCGCTGGTCTTCCAGGAGAGGTATGGTGAATTGAAGACCCCTCTGCAGAAGGACTATACATTCTGATTATCTAATCACTTTTGGAAATTGCCTATTGATCATTGTAAAGCTATTCAAGACTCTCCAAATGAAAAATCCGAAAAGTCTTCATTAGGTGAGGTTATCTTGAATTAAAAGAAAAACTAGTTACAAGCTTAAGAACTTAAAACGTTTGAAATAAAACATCAAAAGCTAAATAAGGTTTAGATTTTAAAAAGTTATAACTGGATTAAGACAAATTTGAAATATTGACTTTTACTATAAGATTTTGGAATTAACTATAAAAAATGAATAACCTCTTGTGGAAAACAGACTTTTAGCTATTCTGATTACTACAAGTCATAATGAAAAATAGAAACTGAACACTAGAGGGAACTAAAGATTTTAACCACGGAGAGAGAGGAAAACCAGTCGTTTGTCATTTAATAAGGACACAAATATAACAGAAATATTAAAGGAGATCTTAGAAGAATGGACCCATAAATTATTGACTACAATTTCAACTGTCAGTAATTTAATGCCTCCAAAAAGGCATAAGATGATACCATCTTGGGAGTTCTGACATTTCCCCCTCTCTTATTGTGTTGTATTCACATTTTTCCCAATTTCTATTTCATCCATCCCATTTTATTCAAATTCTTCCCATTTTTCATTTTTTAAATCTTCATTTTTGAGGTTTCATGTTTGTTCTTAGGGTTGGGGAGGGAGGGAGGGAGGTTGATGGTCATTGACGGTAATTAAATAAAACTTGTTGTGTTTGATAGAAAACAACTGTTAGAAATTATCAAGTGCTAGCCTGCAGCCTATTTCTTGGCTTTTTATTTCTTTATTATTGTCAGTCGACCTTGAAAGGCAGAACAGCTATCTTCAGCTGGCGATTCTGAGACCGCGTTCCCAAATCATTGGAGGTCACCAGATTTCACATGCTTACAATAGGACGGTAAACGGGATGTTTGCAATAATAAGCTTTAACATTTTCTCAAGAGAGGAGAAACATTCAAATGAAACCCGTAATCAACGCTTTTCGTATGCTTCTATCCGATACAAAGTTTACGTGTTCCTTTTCTTTGACGGATCCGTTAGCCTATCGGCCCTCGTCAAATGACTCGAAAGGCGGTTCCCAATCAGTCCGCTCGCGGAGCATGCCGGAATTCGTAGTCTAGCCTCCAACTCAGCGCTACCGGCAGCGTCGTCTGAAGAACTACAACTCCCGGCGGCGCTCCGCTGTTTCGAAGGAAAAAGCTTTCGGGAGAAGCCAAAGGCAACGGCGGCAGATGTTCAAGACAGCGGAGGACGTGGTTGCCTATCTCGGAGAGCTTTTGAGGGGGCGGCGCTGTTTTCCTACCTCCCACCCCCCAGCCGTTGGTTGCGGGAGACCGGAGACTAGCCGGCGCCGTTAGAAGAGAGGGGGCTTTGCACAAGCGGTCCCTGTACCAGGGAGCCATTGCACGCTCGGATCGCCCTGTAGGTGCAAGGAAGGTGGGCGAGTGGGCGTAGCTGGCAGGTTGGTGGAAGGTTTATATGGCTCCGAGACGTGCGTGTGATTTGAATAGCAGGAATCCGTGCAACCCACGCGTATGCAATGTGCTTCGCTCTGTGGAAGACAAGTGGCGGGGGAAATGGGAAAGGCGTGGGAAGCGGTTGTGCAAACTGGGGGAGGTGGCCCGTATTTGAGCTTCGAGCCGAGGCTTGTGCAAAACTCGTGCTCCCCCCTCCCACCATCGTGGGGCCAGGGTGCTTAATTGGGGGATGGGGGAGTGAATTGGGCTTGGCAAAAAAACAAAAAAAACAAAACCGGGTGCCCCGAGGGAGCACTTTCCTGGCTGGGCTTCTGAGGTGGAGCCGAACTGTTCTGAGCAAAGAAAAGCCTCTTTCCTGGCTTGCTTCAGGGATCCTGAGAGGAGATCCCAGGCTCCCCGGTTGGAGCGGTTTTGCATAAATGTGGCGGACTTAAAAGGCAAACAAGAGGGCTGAGAATTGACTTTGCCCTCAGGAAGCAGGTTCCTAAGCGTGACCTGCAGAAATTGGACGTCCTGCAAAAGGTATGGTGTGGGCCAAGCTCCTCCAGCCTAGCAGCCTCCCAATATATCATATAATCAACTTCCCATTATCCCCAGCCAGCATGGGATGACCTAGTGCCGCAGATCTGAAAGTTACTAAGCTTGAAAGGTTTTGTTATCTGAACTGTGAGGTGAAGTTTGGTCCTTGAAGTGGTCATTCTACCACAAAAATTTATTCGGTGAGGATACTGTGGCCTGCAGGGTTCCGTTTTATTAAAAAATAGTTATTCAATCCCATTTCTATAACTGCCCATCTCAACCAGTGAAAATTATGCATAGGTCTGTGTCGTCCCCCAAATATATATATATATATTAAACGTGATAATAGAAACCAGTTTCAGCCTTGCCACCATCCATGGTGGGAACCTTTCCCCTTCTCTCCCCCCCCCCTAATATTTTGAGAAAATAATTAGCTCAGCCTTGTACAGGACTTCCCTTCATTACTCCAAACCACTTATCAGAAAATCCTTTTTACTCAATGTAGGTGATAACATTTTGGATCAATTTAAATATCCCTGTTGTGATAGGGGTATTGGGTTTGTGTGTTGTTACTCCCCATTCAATTTTGGGTTATTTACCTAGCTTTGGGAAGCACTGGTCTGGTAGAATTGTGGTCTTGGGCTTGTAAAATGACCCTTTGGCATATGGAAGAAAATATTAGAATGTCTATATTTTTATCTCATGCTCTGTTAATTAATGTATGGAGTATAGATATGTACAAGTATGTCTTATAATGTACATATTAGTACATATATATAATTTATAAATAAAAGCTAAGATACATGCGTGCAGAGTGCAGGCCCAAGGTTTTTTTTAAAAGATTAAAGTCCATAAACAAAAATTTTAGAGACTCCTATTGTGGAAGGATATATATTTTCTTCAGTGCATGTGCTTCCAGCAGGATAGAAGGACTAGTTATTGAAACTTATTATTTCTGACAGCTCATCTGGAAAAAATTAAAGCAATGGAATGTAATGGGGAATGGCTTTCTGAGAACTAAAAGCCAAGAGATAATTTGTATTTAAAAAAAAACCTCTAGTGAGACTTGCTCCATTCATTTAAAGTGAGGAAGCACCCAATGATGGTCAAGCTTGCAAGATTTATTTGCTCTTAGTGAGATCTATCCGGCATTAGTGGATGCTTTATTCAGCAATTCAGTATCAAAACCAAGCCTACCAGTGTAATAATCCCAAATACACTCCTGATGAATCCACTTACATTCTCTACAGAGTGAAGTTTTTACCTGGTTCCTAAATCATACAAATCCATGTTATAAATTACTTGGCCTTGGCTTTTCATATTATGAGAGCTGAGCTATTACGGCTTTGAATGGTAGTTTATAGCTCAGTATTTCTCAACCTTGGCAATATGTGGACTTAAATTCTCAGAATTCCATAGCCAGACATGCTAAAGTTCCCAAGGCTAAGAAACACTGATCATGTATCAATGGTCAAGTCAATTATAGTTTTTTCAGCAAGCCATGATTTAATTATGGTTTAACTATGACTATTTAGGTAATTGGGAGTCAGGAAGTACTTTTTGTTTAATTTGCTGTAACATTTCATACTGTACTTTCATGGCTGAGAGGGTATTTTTGTGCATATCTGTACATTTTTGTGTATCTTTTTATGGGATTATCAAGAGATTTAGCCTGCTAGAAATTTATCATTGTTAAAAAAAAAATGTTTGTTGAAAATAAATCCAGGAGCTTTCATTAAAAGAAGAGACTAATGATACATTTCATTTTTAATTAATTATCTTTGCTGCCTAAGAAAATCAGCTCAGTAGCTATAGAAGTATATCAGCATAAAAATTTATTAAAGCAACAATAAGACAGCAACATTTGAGTAGAAAAAATGTTTTACTAAATTAAAATGGCAACAAATCAGAACTTTTTAGCTGTGGTTGAGTGCCAAGGAGGACATGGATTGCTAATGCACATATTTTTTGTGCAGCTTTGCTTGAAGGAAGTGAAATCAGGAAATGGCAAATCTAAAATGATAACAGCCTGTCAATGTAATAATAGAGCACTGTGAATTGAATATGAAACTTACAGTATGCCATTTGGTGAGGGATGCAACCTAATGATGTAAATTGCCTGGTGTCTAAATGTTAATATAGAGTGATATATCAAATTAGGCACCAATGTCACTATAAAGAAGACAACTTTTTTTAAACTTTCACCTGCTATGTGGTGGAAAAATGGTAATATGCTGAACTCAATAATGTAAAAAGTAAATTTAAAATTAAAGGTAAATGCAGTGATAAATTGTTTAGAAATAGTTTTGGAGAAGAATGTCATGTTAATATGCATACACCTGGCATCTTTTTAAAGCTGGCTGGACCTGAATATTATGTGGTTAAAATTTATTGAGTGCTAAGACGTTCTAGAAAGGCGTAGTAAGAAATTGGAGGAAGATCACAATAGTATAACAGTGAAAGACTTTTTAAAAATTTGTTTATTCAGTGACATTTGTAGGGAGTTACTCTGCCAAACCTTATCCTTCCAGGAAATTTCCAGGCTTGGCTTGCTGATAACTTAAAATTTCATAGAGTGGAAGAAGGCACAAGTACATTAGCCATTCTTGTCCTGCTGCAAACCAGCAGGGAACATTTAGTCAAGGAATAGAAGTAGCAAGCAAACAACAATAACAAATGTGTGTGTGAGGGGAAAATGATCGTGTCATGCTTACGTTCTTGATGTTAAGGAAAAGTGGATACGGTTACGGTACTGGTCTTAGAAACCAGGAGAGTGAGTTCTAATCCTACCTTAGCTATAAAAGCTTGAATGGATGATTTTTGTACCAGTCACCCTCTCTCCACCCAACCCACCTCACATAATTGCTGTGAGGAAAAGGGGAAAAAGAGGAAAGAGCATTATGTATAAACTCCATGAGTTATTTATAAATTAATAAAGGTGGGATTAAAATCAAATAAATGAATTCCAAGAGCTATGATAAGTAGCGTCAAAGAAAAAGCTGATGGGAATAACTCGATATTTTTTGAGAGGGTGGGGGCACAGCCTTTTAAAAAAGGAGATAGGAAAGTTGAATTGCAAATAAGTCAAAAAGCAGAAGAAGCCAGCAATTTATGCACAGTAACTGGAGGGAAGACCTAAAAATTGAAAAACCTGATAGGAGATAGAATTTCGTAACCGAGGAAAAGTTCATCAGAATTGTAGGTTTATTATCAGAATTGCTATAATGTTCAAGGTGAGCTAAGATTAATTAAGTAAATTAGGAACAACAAAAGAGCCTGTTTGGATAGATTCAGAATAAAAGAGAAGTATATCAGCTACTCAGAGAAAATGATAAAATGTTAAGTGATAGCAAATTAAAGGTGGAACTAATCAATATCCATTTCCACCTAATTTCATTTAAGAAAATGCACATTCGACTAAGCATTTCTGAAGAACAGTCTAAACAGGATTCCTTTTGATAGAAATATGGTCTAGGAATATCTATTTTCTTTGAATGAATTAAAATTTACAGAAGTAATAGGATGTAAGTGCATTGAAGAAGGTTACTGAAGATCTAGCCAAAGTTTTTTGTATTATCTTTCAGAAATTATGGAATAGTGGAGGGAAGTATTTGTCCCTTCAGAAAGATGCAGGCAGAATCAGGGAATTATGTATCTATCAGTGGTATCAATAGCAAATAATATTAGTTTGTGTTTTTATAATATTATTAAACATTACAGTTAAAATGCAAGAACTAATGCAAACTGAAAAAAAGAATTAAATGCAAAAGAGGAAAAATAGACAAGAAAAATAAGAATATAGAAAAGAAAAAAGGAAATACATAAATTATTTCCCTCTTCATCACAAGTATAAACAATTTAATGTGACCAATTTTTATTAAAATACCAACAAATTATCTTTTCTTCCCATATTTCATCTCTTAGTTATATTAAAAAAATTAAAACCTTGTTATCCAGTCCTGTTCAGCAAACACCCATTAAGTGTTAGCAGAGATACCATATCTGCTTTAACCTTGATAAAGCAACTTTGTATTCCTTCCTTTTACTTTTAACAGTCTTGATCTTTATTCCCTTCAAATATTGTCATAGAACTTGGTTTCTTTTCATTTTTATTTCTTTTCTCCTCCTCAGGAAATGTTTCAAAACCTTAAGAAGTCTCTTTTCTAAATCCAGGATAGGAAAGTTATCCAGGACACTCTCTTGGTTTGTTATTTGTATATTCTTTTTAATTATTAAATTATCAGTTGGTTTCTTTTGTATGACAACTATAGCATCTTTTTCCACACCAATTCTTATAAGCCTGCCTTTTTAAGGTCCATTCTCTTGTCCAGTAAAATTTGTTTCTTTTCCATACCTTCTTTTAGAGGTAGTCTATCCATAATGGGAGACACTTTCAAAATTGACATTTCGGTCCATTGACATTTGGGTCCATTGTTCACAAATATCCTTCAGTTTATGCATTACAGGTGGTTCTTGACTTATGACCACAGTTGAGCCCAAAATTTCTGTTGTTAAAGTGAGATAGTTAAGTGAGTTTTGCCCCATTTTACAACCTTTCTTTGCACCGTTGTGATAGAGAATATGAATGAAGGGTCTTCGGAAAGTACAAATGCCAGAGTAAACAGCTAGCTTAACCACAGAAGTAAATAGAATAACAGGAAAGTACCTGCAACTCCCAAGAACCCATAGCCTAAACACCAGAAGGGGCTTCAGAACAAGGAAAGGGGAAACATTTGAGCTTCAAAATAGCTGTCGGAGGAAATCGCTAGCTTAGCCATAGGATAGTTACATATAAATTGTGGCAAGCACAATGTAAAGGTTCCGGCCCAAGCAAATCAGAACTCTGAGGCCAGACTCTTCCTCCAAGGACTCCTTTATTGGGTAAATCATATCGGCACACTTGGTTCAGTGGTCACACACCTGATATACTGAAAAATAGGTGGTTTGTCTAAGAAGTGGGTCAGAGTAGTAAGCAAAGTGCATGCTTAAAATATTAATTGACATGCCTTTCATGTATAATTTGCTAATTATACTGCACATGTGGTATGGGATGTAGATTTAGGGAGGATCTCAGGAAACAGGGAGGCGGTCAGAAAAGAGTGTTAACCTCACAGTACCTCAGCCAATGAGGAACGAGGATGTATAAAGAAGGGAATAGTTTGAGTTGAAACTGGAGAGAACCAAGCTATGATAGTTTGTTCCCGCTTATTGCAATAAACGAAACAAAAAGGCTTTCATTGTGTCTTGGCTGGTTATTGGTCAGGCAGATTTGTCACTGGTTGCAAAGGAAAGTAGCTGGCAGCACATAACAGGCTTTAAGCTTAATTGAATCTCTGCAGATCAGAGGTTCTGACCAGTTCTGGAGAACCTGTAGCGGACATTTTGAGTAGTTTGGAGAACCGGCAAATACTACCCCTGACTGGCCCCGCCCCCATCTATTCTCTGCCTCCCGAGTCCCAGCTGATCGGCTGGGTCTTCTTTTGTTGCCCTGCACAAAAGAATGGAGCTGGAAAGCAGGTTAGTGGGGTGGGGAGGGAGTGGATATTTTACAGTATCCTTCCCAAGCCACGCCCACCAAGAACCAGTAGTAAAAAAAATTGAATCCAACCACTGCTGCAGATGTTAAGTTAGTGATACAGTTGTTAAGTGAATGTGTGTGAATTTGCTTATCAGAGGTCACAGAAGATGATTACATAACCTCCAGACACTGCAACGGTCATAAATATGAGTCCATTGCCAAGCATCTAAATTTTGATCACATGACTATGTGGATGCTGCAATGGTTGTAAGAGTGAAAGATGGTCATAAGTCATTTTTTCAGTGCCATTGTAACCTCTAATGGACATTAAATGAACTGTTGTAAGTCAAGAATTAGCTGTATTTTTTAATTCAAAACAGCATTTTCCCACAGGAAGAATTCTTCTAATTATTTTCAAAAATCTTATTTCAAATCCATCTGGACCTTTATTCCATTGTTAACTTTCCAAAATCAATGTTCTAATCTTTTTCTTGCTATTTATTTTTTTAAAAAAAGTCCTTAACCTTGCATTTGAAACTTTTTTTACTTAGGATTGAAGGAAACTCACCTGAAGCTCATCTGTTTTGCAAAGATTCCTAATAGCTAAAAAGCAATTTGGAAGCAATTTCCAAAATTCATTAGGAAATGAAGCTTGGCGAACATTATGTCCTGAAGTGAATTCAGTTTACAAAAACAAACATTTAAGTCTTTAAATGCCACAAAATGTTTGCTGCATATCTGAGGTACTGCAGAAATAAAACTCAGCATATAACCTAAACATGAGTTCTCATAGACATTAGAATAACTGTTGCATTTCTAATTAAATAAACCTTAGTGAAAAAACAGGATAGACTGGAAAGAAGTGAATTGGAAAGATGGAAAGATGCAATTGTAATTATTCTAGACTCTACTGTAGTTCAAATTTTTTCCTTCTTTAACCTGATGTCCTCCAGATATGTTGGAACTGCAGCTGCCAGAATTCCTGACCAACGGTCACAGTGGGCAGAGAATTCTGGGAATTGAAGTCCCAACAAGTGTCAGATTGGTGAGGCTGGACTTCAGTCTCTAAGATTCCATTTCACAGGCAAAGACTTGGAATAATGTAGGTATTTCCTCCCTTTATACCTATTTGGATTTTTAAAAAATGTATACATAAACTGTTTGCTTCATTAGATGCTCTGGAGGACCAACCCCCTTAGGATTTCTGAATATATGATTTGGTCTTTCTTAAAGCACTACTGATTTTCTGAATCTTCCTTCTGCTGTCTCTCCTCCTGACAGATTTGGCTGCTACTAGGAGGAGACACTTGCCTCTTTGTTTTCTCTTCATTTTTTTAAAGGCCGCCTTAGAATTGGCACAAGGGGTCTTCTGTCCATCTGCTGAAGGGAGGACTTGTTGCCTGTTCCATAGAACAAGGCCTACGTTACGCAGATTGTGTATCTCTTGGCTAAAGCTAGGGTTAGAGCAAAGGGCTCTAAGTTTTGCAAAAATAATCAAATCATAATGGCTGATATATTCTCCAGACACCAGTAATTATGCACTTGTTGCTTTTTCTATGCTAATACAGATGTGTGCAAATGGCCTTTCATGTTAGCATCTCTTTCAGAATAATTTCCACCTTGAAAGTAAATCTTCTGTGATGCTGATTTCTGCAGGGGTTGGGATATCTGGGTTGGCAGTTAAGGTGATAGACTTGGTCCAGCGATGGCCAATTGCTGACTCATTGAGAGCTCTTGACAAATCGAACCCTCCTTTTCTATCAGTGCTGAATCTGTGGGAAATGAAGGCCTTAAATCTCTCCCTGGACTTAACGTTTCTTTTCCTCTGTTTTAGATCCAGCTCTTCATGATTTAACACTTTTTGACAAGGCACTTAAAGAAGGAATGGCAGGTAACAGGAGCAGTTCAAATTTTCTTTCTCAAAGCTAAAATTGACTTGGACGACAACTATTTCCCTAGTTCCTGTTGAGCTGTACATGAACATCTTTCCCTTAAAAATGCCTCTACAAAGCTACTTTGTTCATGGCTGCATTGCCTAAAAGTCTTAACACAATTTTGCGCAATTTCTTGCATTCCCGATTATGTTAGGCTGTCTCTTGTGACTTCTTTTATTTGTGTTCCTCAGTAACTCTGTAGGTTTCTTTCAGTATTTATCTTCAGATCGGTTTACTGTGCTGATGACTAAAGTTGCCATTCTCTCTGTTAACTTAGCTGATTTGTACTCTCTTTGTAGAGAAAGTGAACAATTTCCCCCCACTTCCTAAATTTATCCCGCTGAAGCCGTGCTTCTACCAGAACTTCACTGATGAAATCCCAATTGATTACCAGACTCTGGTGAGACGGATCTATCGCTTGTGGATGTGTAAGTTCACCTGTATTGGAAATCTTGTCTACAGCGAAAGTGGAGGAGGGTTAAAAATGCAGCTCGGTATCTTTCTGAGTTTAATCTGGTAGTGGTTTTTTTTTTTTTTGTCTTTATCTTTAGGTTTCAGTTTTGTTTTTAAATAGTAAGATACCAGTTTTTAGGGATATAGAGTGGAAAGCTAACACAAAACCTAGTGAAAAAAAACTTCCATCCAGACAAATGGCTGATTTCCAGTGATATGGGAAGATAGTTTGCTAAGAGCCAAGATGTGTATCTAACAATCTTGCAAAATATGTGCAAAGCATTGGCAAAAAGATCATAATGCATGAACAATCCCTGCAGATTTCATAGCCCCAAAGTCTGGAAAGATTAGATCAGTCTTTTCTTATCTAGCCTTTCCAGAGATATCGATACTGCTTCTTCCCAAATGCATCTGGCTGGTAAGAAGTTGTAAAAGGCAGGATTACACTAATAAGTGTTAACTGAGTGATTATACGCTATCTAGGAATTGCCACCTCTCAGCGCCTCACATTAGATAGATTTTCTCCAGGATAATCTGTCTTCAACCTGGCTCTTTGGGCAACCCCTCAGTACCATAATGAGGTCTCTCCACTTTGCCGTTGGTTGTCATGTCCCTCCACCTTCCTCAGCATTGTGGACTTCTTGCCTAATTTTTCCAAATAAGAGTTAGAAGAAGTGATTTATTGATGACTCATCAGCCAGATGTCCTTGTTTATACCAGTCTTTTCTAGGAACTAAGTGAATCAACAGGAGATGTCTGTTTCCTTCCTGCCCATGGAGGGATTTCCTAAAAATGTGATTGCCAGCAAAGTCTGTTCTAGGAAAGAAGATTAGCTTAAATCTATTCCAACAAAGGGACTACTACTTAAAGAGTTGGTGTTATTGAACTTGGCATTATCACGTTATTTATTTATTTGATTTTTATTCTGACCATCTCCCCTACAAGGTGGTTTTTGGGGAGCTGATTAATAATAAAACAACTAGAAATTAAAGTATATTAAAATAGTAAAACTATGTAGGTTAAAATTTTAAAACTATGTAAAATCAAAGCTAAGTGATGGACTTGTATAAAGCAAGCCATGATGGTGCAGTGATTAGAATACAGTGCTGCAGGCTACTTCTGGTGACTGCCAACTGTCAGCAGTTCAGTTCTCACTGGCTCAAGGTGGACTCAGCCGTCCATCCTTCTGAGGTCAGTAAAATGAGGACCCAGATTGTTGGGAGCAACATGCTGTTTTTAAAAACCATCTAGAGAGTGTTGTGAAGCACTATGAAGCAATATATAAATGCTGTTGCTATACTTGAATCATTGAATTCAAAACAGCCGTGTAGTCTTTTCTTACCAGCCTTTTCTTAGCTGATTGCCTCCTTGGGGAAATCCAAGAAGGCTAGACTTCCAGGGATTCAGAGAGCCAAATCGCAGCTGAAGGGAAAGGCAAGACTGTTGACCGAGGGGAGGGGAGCTGGTGTCAGCTACCCCTCTTTCAGTGCAGGGAATCCAAATTACACTAGCTGGAACTGATAACATGTACTTGAGACAGGTGGCCATGTAAATCCTATAAATAAACGAACAAATAAACAAAAGATCCGGGAGCCTGGATCTGATTTTTCATAATGTGCACTGATGGTTGAGAGTGTATTCTTGTGCATATTTGTACACCTTAGTGCAGGGGTCTCCAACCTTGGCAACTTTAAGAATTGTGGACCTCAACTCCCAGAATTCCTCAGCCAGCAAAGCTCTGGGAGTTGATGTCCGCAATTCTTAAAGTTGCCAAGGTTGGAGACCCCTGCCTTAGTTTCATCTTTTTATAGGATTATCAACAGTCCTTTTTGTCTTTTAGAAATTTACCATCGTTTTAAAAAATTGGTTTGCCAAAAATAAAGATCCGGGAGCCTTTATCAGAAGAAGAGTCTAATTAATTATCTTTGCTGCCTAAGAAAATCAGCTCGGTAGCCAAGAAAGCTTATCAACATCAAAATATATTAAAACAATAACAACACAGCAATATAGGAACAGAAAAATATTTTACTAAGTTAAAAATGGTAACAAAGCAGATCATCTCAGCTGTGGTTGATTGCCAAGGAAGCTCTGTCATAAAGATCTTCTGAGAATAGGACTTTATTGTCAAAGTAGTGTTGAGAGAAACAGTCCTTACCATACCTTCAACCTTCACCCTTTTGTGAAATCCAATTCTCCACTAAGCTTTTAAACTCCATATTGTACATCATTGCTTTAAAGCAGTGGTCGCCAACCAGTGGGCCAGGGATTACCGGTGGTCCGTGAGAAAATTTGGTGGTCTGCAGAGAAATGTCACCCCCCAAAGCATCCCCCAAAGCAATTAATCCAGGCTGTGCAAGAACACAAAGCTGCACCGCCCACATGGCCCGTGGGAACACAAGGCTTGTGTCGCTTGCATTGCAAACAACGTGAGGAAGTGGGGGGGGCAAAGGGCGGAGGGGGGGAGCTTGCACCACTTACCTCACGCGCCTGGCCTGGCCTGACCACTGGGCTGTTTCTTTCCGCTTCTTTCTTCTCTGCTTTTGGCTGCACACAAAGAAAGCAGCAGAAGTCTTTCTTTCTCGCCCCCAAACTCTTCCAGAAATGAGTCTTTGGGACGCTGCAAGGCATCCTGCTCCAAGAGGTTGTGCCAGTGTGTCAAGTCTCACAAAGGCTCATTTCTGGTGGGGTTTGGGGGAAAGAAAGACTTCTGCTGCTTTCCTTGCATGAAGCCAAAAGTCTCTCTCTCTCTCTCCCCCCGAACGATGCTGGAGACGGTATCCTGCAATCCCAAATAAAGATAGATTGGTAGGAAAACGGGGGTGGGGAATTTTCCTACATACTTTTGGGGGGATTTTCCCAGGGTCTCTACTGCTTTCTGCAGAGATCCTGGGAAAACATCAGTAAGCCACTGCCAGTCAAAATTCATATTAATGGTCCCCAGGATTTAAAATTATGAGTTTGGTGATCCCTGAGGTCCCAAAGGTTGGCGACCCCTGCTTTAAAATGCCTTGGATTTTCCCAGTACTTTAAACGTCTCTCCTTTTTTTCTTCCATAGTTTACTGCATCACCTTGTGTGTTAACCTCATTGCTTGTCTGGCTTGGTGGATCGCTAGTGGAGAGGGTGTCAATTTTGGCTTGGCAATTCTTTGGCTCGTCCTCTTCAGCCCCTGTAGTTATGTGTGTTGGTTCCGGCCAGTCTACAAAGCCTTCCGGTAAATTTCACACTGGTCTATTTATCTCTTGTCCTTAAATTTCCAAAATCAGAGCTCCAGCTTTGGTGCTGCAGAATAAAGGAATAGGTTGGAGCGCATTCCTTCATCGTACCCCTCAATCTTAATTGCGATATTTTGATCAAGGAATTGAACACTTTCCATCTGAGGAGAGAATGCAACAATTGGGGCTGTTTAGAGAAAGAAAAAGGCACAGGGAGATAAATTGATGCACAATAAAGTATGACTGAGCAGAGAGATATCTTTTATTCCATTTCTTACATTAGAATTAGAGGCCACCCAAAGGAAATAATTAATAGAATGATTGTCCATTTACAGGTAGTACTTGATTTATGACCACAATTGAGCCCAACATTTCTTTTACTAAGTGAGAGAGTTAAATGAATTTTGCCCCAATTGACCTTTCTTGCCACAGTTATTGGGTAAATCACTGCAGTTGTTAAGTTGGTAACATAATTGTTAGGTGAATCTGGCTTCCCCATTGACTTTGCTTGTCAAAAGGTCATCACATGAACCGTCATAAATCTGAACCAGTTTTATGATAAATATGAACCAGTTGCCAAGCGTCCGAATTTTGATCACATGACCATGGGGATGGCTGCAGTGGTGATAAGTGTGAGAGAAGTCATAAGTCACTCTTTTAGTCTTGCTATAACTTTGAACGGTCACTAAATGAATGGTTGCAAGTCAAGGTATTTACTTGTATACTAAATGTATGTTTCTTCTTCCTCATGCTTCCCCCAGGTCAGACAGCTCTTTTAATTTCATGGCGTTTTTCTTTCTTTTTGGAGGCCAGTTTATCCTGACAATCTTCCAGGCAATTGGTTTCAGTGGGTGGGGAGCATGGTAAGAAAAGCAACTGATTTTTACACATCTTCCATTTCCCCCCTCATTTTAGACTTAAAAAAAAAAGTGTATCCACCTATACAATAGAAAACAGTGGTGCTACAGGATCTAATTAGTTTGCTTTAATTGCTTCTTAACATTCTTAACACTTTTAATTTAGATTCCATTTGTCCCCGTTATTAAAGAACCCAGATCTTTAACAAAAAGGCCATTTTTTCCTAGGATAATGTACAACTTTACAGGCATTCTGTTACTGATCAGGTAACGTTGACAATATTGCTATATAGTTGTTGACAATATTGCTATAATAATTTTCTCAACAATTTTATAAATTTAATCAATCAATTAGGGAGCATTTGTACTGTAAAGTATTGTTTTGTTTCTGCTTCTAAGCCAGGCCTGTCAAACTGGTGTCACGCATAGGCCATGCCCACCCTGGCTCCGCAAAGGCAAAAAACCCGTCATAATACGTCAAGTGATGCGATCGAGTTTGACATCCGTGTTCTAAGCCCAAACCTGCTCTAATGCTACATTACATAATGGCAGTACTTGTACTGCACACCAGAACAATTAGACACAAGGACAGTTTTTTCCTGAATGCCATCAGTCTGCTAAACAACTAATGCCCATAATACTGTCAAACTATTTACTAAGACTGTATTTCTATTATTCTTCTCATCCTTCCTATTACCTATCTGCTCCCTCTTATGATTATAACCATGTTGCTTGTATCTTTACGATTTATATTGTTTTATTTATTTCCTAGTATCGTTTGATTGCTTATTTAGTAACCTATGACTATCACTAAGTGTTGTATCTTATGATTCTTGATGAATGTATTTTTTTTTCTTTTTTATGTACACTGAGAGCATATGCACCAAAGACAAATTCCTTGTGTGTCCGAACACACTTGGCCAGTAAAAGAATTCCATTCCATTCCATTCTATTTTATTGCAAGTGCAGTTCAAGATGCTGGTCACCACTTTTAAAGCCCTACATGGTTCAGTGCCTGGACAATTAAGAAACTACCTTTCTTAGATAGTATCTGCTTCTCTGCCCCAGACAACTATGGAGCACTTATTAAGGGTGCCCACCTCCCTCCCAGAAAGTACAGCTATTGTGGAATAGCTTGGGTCCAGAGGCAAGGTTGGCCTCCATTCCCATGTCCTCTGAAAGCTGAAAACTCTTTTGGAAAAAAATAGTATTTAGGCTATACAGTCCCAGTTCCTTTAAATGTACTTTCTAAGGATTACCCCACCCCCCCACAAGCACCTCACAATCTTTGTGGCTGTTCTCTACATTCTTTCCAGTTCTTCAGCATCTTGCATTGTGATGACCCTAAATTTTCTCAGCATTCCAGGAGCAGCCTAACTAGGACGGGATGGAGTGGACTGATCATTTTCCATAACTTTAAAATTATATCTCTGTCAGAGAAGGCTTTTTTTTAGCAGCTGCAGCACATCGCAGCTCAGGCTTCAGCTGCGATCTACCTAGGCACCAAGATCCTTCTCAGATGCTACTGCCAAACTAGGCTTATACCTGTACACAAGTAGTCCTTGACTTACAACCAGGGGTGAGCTGCTACCGGTTCAGCAAACCAGCAAATCCCACCCTTGGGTGGCCCTGCTCACCCTGCCCCTCCCCCACCCAGGAGTCTCCACATGGCCCGTTTTGGATGCCAGGTAAGTGCAGGGCCTTCAGAGCCCGGGGAGGGTGAAAACAGCTCCTCTGCCGTGGTGCAGGAGGCCAACTAGGCCACACCCACCATGGCCATGCCCACCCAGCCACCGGGCAGAGAATCGGTTGCTAATTTTTTTTTTAAACAAGTTTTATTCAGTTTTCCACATTTTCACATCTCTTTTTAGCAAACAGCATCATTACAGGTTTCACATATACATACAAATATGACTATAATTACATATTCAATTTTTGTATTCAATTTCTTACCTTAACAATGCTTTTTATACATTTTCTATTTTATTATATTATTCCAAATGCTTCTCTCATTATTTAATTCACATGTATATTACCTTCATAATTATTATACTTTATACTTTTAACTGTCACATTTGTATATTCCTCTAAAATTCTGATTAATAACACTCCTTCTATAAATTGGTTTCCCCCCTAAAATATCAGTTTAAGTGCGCCATCTCTAAGTTACATATTCATTAATTATCTCCCCTTTTAAATCCCATTAAATGATTAACATTTTATTACCTAAAACATTCAAATTAAACACCCATTTAAAACTACATAGCATATATAAATCAGATTCTGCATGGTTTCCCCTTTTTAATTTCATAAGGTTTATCTACAGTTTCAGAAAAGAAAAAAGAAAAGAAAAGGACATATTGATCTATTAATTTAATCCTAAACCCTGATGTTAATTCCATTTTAGCTCTCCTCCAATATAATTTCATTTATTTCAGTATATTTAAAATATCTCAATATAATAAACATATTCCATTATTTGTTACAATTATCTCTATACATAAAGGAAAAGAACATTGAATTTCATTATCAAAAAATAGCAGTTCTATTTTCCATCTTTTCAATCTATATGTCCCCATTTCACAACTACAAATATATTTATGTTACCCCCAAGCACCTTGCAGAATCCCCTCTCCAAATATCAATCAGCCATTATCTCTATGTCTAATTAAACAATTTTCCCATTTTTTAGAATTCCCATATTTCTTTATTCCCAAGTCTTGTTTCTTATCCCTTCTTCCCCCTAGTATTTTCCCCTTTATTCTTTCACTCCAGTTTTTATCTCCCTCTCTATAACTCCTTTCTGCCCTTCAAATTTCTGCTGATTCTTTTTCCCTTTTTTAATTTTCCAGATATTTCCCTCTTTATGCAGTTTCCCAAATCTCCAATATTTATTTCCAACTCTTTTCCTCTTTTTTTCCGAAGTTCTTTGTTCTCAATGGTGATTAAAGATGGCCCCTTCTGTGATGTGCTCCACCTCCTCTTCTGTCCTTTGTCTTTGTTGTTCATACTCTGCAATCGCATTTTCAATGAAAACCCAGCATTTCACCTCGTTCTTGTAATATTTATTTTGTGTTTCTAAGTTCCATTTTAATGCCAGAAGAGATATTGCCATTTTACGGCTTTCTAATTAACCATTTAGTCAAAATAGTGTCTTTAAAGTTAATTTCCAACAGTCAGCTTTTATTTTCTTCCTCTCAGGTTTTAATCCTCAATTAATCCAATGCCAAATCCATATCACAATCAACAATTAATCCAAGGGCAGAATCTTCCTTTTTCTTCTTTGTTTCATTGTTCCATTTTTCAAAGTTCTTGTTTTATTGTTTCAATTTTCCTTACAGTTTTAAGAAACAGAGTCTTTAAACAAGTTAGATTTAACTAAGATGGCACTCTTTATTCTGACAAGTCCAGACCCCCTCTTTTCTTTTTTCTTCCCAATTATTCAGACCACAATCTTCCAAAAAGGTCAAATCCAATTGATATTAAATTTTCTCTTTAACAATCTATGGTTCAGCTTTATTAGTGCCTACATAGAATCAAAATATACTTATCCAAATTAATTAGATGGTTCCTTCTCCAGCTTCTACCTTTCTTGGTTCAAAGCCCTCTTTCTGTTTGCCACTTTAAGTTCTTTCTTGAAAATTCTTTGAAATGTTAATCCTGGGGGTACTTTCCATTTAATTATATTGTCCTGTTCCTCCTGCTGTTCGCTTCTTTCTCCTGCACAATCTTATTCCAGTCTAATCTTCCCCTTCAGGGTGGCCATTTTAGACCACCGCTTCAGACATCTTTGGGAGGGAGCAAGTGCCAAGCCGGGGAGGGGATTTGCGACTCCCCTCTATCCAGCTGACGGTCTCCCCTTTCTCCGCCGCCCCTACAAGGCGGCTTCTGCCCCAAATCTAGTCGATCAGGGCTCTCCGATGCCGAAGCACGGACCAAAGCCACACACAATTGCAGTCAGCAGTCTGTCTTCAGGGAAGCTCAAGACCGGAAGCCATGGTTGCTAAAATTTTTGAAGCCCACCCCTGCTTACAACCACACGTAGTTCAAGACTGTCTCCTCAGGAAAGTCTGTAGAGATTCTCAGTCATCTGTCTCTCTTCAATCTTCAAAAGAAAAAACAACAGAAAGTGCAGTTGCCTCCTGAAAAAGCACCTTTTGGGAAAAACATGATCTGGATAACTGAGCATCTCTACAGACCTTTAGCTATACAATTTGGGATGAACACTTTTCAAATGGTGTGGGGGTAGGAATGGATCTCCAAAGGAAAAAATGCAGACTACAGGAACCAGGAGCACTACTCGGGTGACCCTGAGGACACATAAACCTCTGAATGCTTCAGCAATCCTCTAAAAGAACGCAGATGACCAGTTGTCTACAAGGAATATAAATCCTTCCATTCCTCACTATCCTGTCAGAACTGAAGAAGCTTCTTGGATGAGAAGCGAAAGATCTTCAAAAGAAAAAAACAAAGTCCAGTTGCCTCTTGAAAAAGCATCTTTGGGGTCTCCTCGGGAAAATTTCAAGGCACCTGGGATGATGTCCTCTCTGCCACACCAGAAGCAGTTAAACGGTTAGCTTCCGTAGATATTGAATTGTAACATCTACCCTATTGCAATTCTATGGTGCCATATTTTGGTAATTTTATCATGGTTTTACTGTAATATTTTATCTCATATATTCTATTGTCAACACAGTTTACATACATTTATTTGCTATAAATGTATGTAATTATTTGCCTTGCCCCAATGAAGCAGGAAAACGTTTTCTGAAAATTGCAACCCACTTTTCTCTTGGTTTCTTTTAGTGGCTGGATTGCTACCATACGTTTAATTGGCACGAATGTTGGAGCTGGTATAGTCATGCTCTTCCCAACAGTTATGTTCACCTTGTGTGCTGTCGGGATGCTTATATGTCTCATCCGGGTGAGTCAGAGGGCTTGGGTTTCTTTTCTTTTTTTGCGGTGCATCCTGTGCCTCTCCAGGGGTGGGGTGCAAAAGAGCGTCACTCTGAGACTCCATTAAGCACAGGCCATCATATGTGCATCTGTGATGACCCGGGACGTGACACAAAAATAACGAAGTCACAAAAGAAGAATAAATTCCCTTTAATGCCTCCAGCTTGGGCCCCAATGTCTAATTATCCTCGGCTGGATATCAAACTCTTCCAAAAACAGTCTACGAAGGGAGTAAATGCAGTCCGAACCCAAAGTAAAGATAATTAGAAATAAAAAAAAACCAACAGAAACCACACTGAAGTCATTAACACGGCAGGCCAGGATGATAAATTGCAGACTTCCACAAGATAATGCAGCAACCACAGTTGGGAGGATGCCAAAACCTAGATAAGCCTCTATAAAGATAATGCATGCTTTGCTTCCAGCAAGGAGCTGTGTGTAAATGCCCCACTTATATCCTGTTCTCCCAGCTGCAATGAATGAAAGGGTTCAGGGCCTTTTTCTCTCCCGTAAGCCACATTGCTCCCTTCTCCGTTCCTCCCTGCGTGCCCTAGGATGAAGAGGGGATGGCCCTGGATCTTCCTCTGAATGCCCAGCCGAACTGTGCCTGTCCCCAGTTTCTTCCACAGCCACTGGAGCCACACTCCCACTCCCTGTCAGCTGCTCAATATCCCCCTCGGAATCAGACTCCAACAAGGGCATGACACTACCATATAATGCTCTAATTCCTGGCTGTCTCCTCCAACTGGCCGGGTGGGCTGAAAATCAAGTCCCAAGGAAAATAAATTATATAAATTGCATTACATGTCTCCAAGGTCCCTTCCAACTCTTGTTATTCTGTTCCTGTTCTGTTCTATTCATATTCTAAACATGCGATTGGCTTGCTATTTTTTTCCAGGAGCGTTGTTATTTATTTGACACATAACTTTTGAATGTTCCTAAGTACAGTAACTTTTTCTCTGAAAGGAAGCTTAATTAATAACTTTAACAATACATATTATGATTTAACCAATGTGGACATGAAAGCCAACTGGAACTACAAGGGGGCAATTTAAAAATCACTCTGAGATCTTAGTCCCTGTATCCCAGACTAAACATCACCCCTGCATCCTCACCTCCGATTCCTTCTTTTTTTCTAAGCCAGGTTAAAGGAAAGAAAGTCAATGCTTTGGACAGAAGTGCAAAAAAGATGTCCAACAGATAGACCAGTGGTAGCTAACCTTTTGGGGCTCCTGTGCCAAAATTTGCACATGCATTAGCGCACGCGCACTCACGTGCCAGCAGCCAGAATTTAATGCATGCCCTCCACGGCCCCTGTGCACAATCCCCCCCGCCACCCCTTTATCTGCACTGCGCCTCACAGCTGATTTTTTAGCTGATTTGAGGCCTTTTTCGGCCTCCCAGGGCTTTGGAAAAAGCCTCCGCAAGGCTTTTCAGGATGAATTATAGGCCCGTTTCATCACTTCTGGTATTACAAGAAGTGACGAAATGGGCATATTCGGCCTGAAAAACCTTGCAGAGGCTTTTTCCAAGCCTCTGGGAGGCCGAAAAACGCCTCAAACCAGCTGAAAAATCAGCTGTGAAGCACGCACATGTGCAGTGAGGTAAGTCTTCCTGCGGCTTGCGTGCCAGCACAAATGGCTCTGGGTGCCACTTGTGGCATACATGCCATAGGTTTGCCATCACAGAGATAGAGGCTTGATTCCTATTTTCCTTCTTTCTCTTTCCGGTCAGGTTCACCGGATCTACCGTGGCGGAGGTGGAAGCTTTCAGAAAGCCCAGAACGAATGGCAGAGCGGATCATGGAAAGATCCTCCGAGCAGGGAAGCCCAGCACAGCAACTTTTCAGGAAACAGCCTCCCTGAATATCCAACAGTTCCCAATTACGGAAACCCTTGGTCCTGATCCTGGCCTGCTGTTGGGCTGCTTAAGTAGTTTGGTTTGAGTTGTTGCAAGAAACACATTGGGTTCCTCATTTGAAGCTCGCTCTCTCTGTCTCCTTCTTTCCCTCTTTCTCTTTTTCCTTTAGGGGTAGTGCACTTTCTTCCCCTAATCATGGTTTTATTTATAGTTCTCCTTTTATGATGGCAGCAGCTTGTGCCAAGACATGGCTGTTGCCCATAAAATTGGATTAGTCCTATTTTTATTGATAGGAATCCCCTTTTTTTTCTCCCACGTATGTCATTCTTGCCAATGGATGCACAAAGGACTGGTTAAAACTGTCATTTCTATTGACTGCCTCATTCACCACCAGGTTCCCCTGAAGATTTTGGGAAAGTGGACTTAAACTTTTCTCCGCCCTTTCCCTGTTTTTTTTGAGCTTGCTTGTGTGCTAATCCTGACTCCCTGTATCTTTGGGGGTCCTGCAGCTCAAGAGATCATTGTGAAAGGAAATGTGTGATAGTGCGAACAGCTTGTTCATGACGACAACTATTTTTTGATGTTTGCTGCTGCCAGAGCAGGAGTTTTGTAACTGAATCCTTCTCCCAGGAAAATAATTCCTAGAAACAGAAAGTTAGCAGCATGATTTAATCTTCTCAATGAACTGCTAGCTTTCCGCAATGGAGAACTGTATTAATTAAGGACGACAAGTCCAAATATGGACCCTGCTCTCCTAAAATAGGATCCATTTTCTGGAAGTTTTGACCTATTAACAGGTCTTCGTTTTGCTTATTTGTTTTGTTTAGAGTGTGTTGCTTTAGGCTCTCTTCCTCCTACTTTGCTGGCTATTAACTTGCTTGCTAAAATAGAAACATTGAAGGTGACTATGACCTGGTCTGAGCCTATCCCTCTTGGGAAAAATAAATTTCCCATAATTAAACCACAGACCTTTTTTCATTGCTGGTACTGACAGATCAAATTCTGTTCAGATATTCCACTTTACCTCAGAGCAGAATCTGCAAAGTATCAAGATCCACAATCAGGCCGCTTCTACAAGTATTTTTTTCCTCAGATTTTTTTTGTGTGTGTGTATGTGGGGTGTCCAATAGCTACTGAGCTCAAGGAGCCCTTAGTCTTTCTCAACCTTAGCAACTGTAAGAGGCATGGACTTCAATTCCCAGAATTCCCCAGCCAGCATGGCTGGCTGGGGAATTCTAGGAGTTGAAGTCCATACCTCTTAAAATTACTGAGGTTGAAAAACATTGCTTTGGCTGGGCCAGTTTGACATTTCAGCAGTTCACATCTCTTCCACAATTTTCCAATGATCTTGGGTCTCCTATGGCTTTGGGGTGCCCTGTTCAGTCAGTGCTCTTCTTCTCACCTGTGTGAGTCTAATTCTGGCATCCTGGGAGGTAAAATCCTCCCCAGAACTTGATCCAGTTCTTTGTCTAAGGATGCTTTTTGGAAGGTACCAGTTATTGTGCTACCTCGGGCCAGTTTTGTCCAATCTGATCCAACACACTGGAGCAGCAGCGCCTTAGTTATGCTGGTGAAGGATTTCGTGGCTTACGCTCCCCATATATCTGGAAGCAGCCAGATGTGTCCAGGCTGCCTCAAAGCATTCAGACTCCGAAATCTTGGGCACAGTCTTAAGGATAGCTGTCTGTTAAGTCATCTGGACCTTCCCCCATCATCCAACGGTTAGTTGCCTTTTCAAACCTTTGTTTTTATTTCCTTTCCGAGAAGCAGGCTTGTCCTGGTTCTTCCCCCCTTTCTTCTTTACAAAATACATTACTTTTTGGGGAAATGTTGTGGGTTTATCAAAAAAAAAATGTGAAAAAGCAGCTCCAGGCAGAATGGAAAATAGGGATAGGACAGAGGCGTGGGTTGTAATATGTGCCTTATCTGATTTTACCTACTCTGGTCTGATTCTCTTACCACCCTCCTCCAGATCCCAGCCTTTTTTGCATATTTAGTGACCCTGGAAGGATTCCCTCTTGGTCCATTGGAAAACTGCCTGTTTTGTAAATACAAGGGCCAAGTTCTCCCCCTCGAGGGTATGTTAACAAGTGAGCCAAAGAAAATGAAAACTCTTAATGCTAGAGGCCAAAAACCTCTACTGGCCTTCCTTTGGGAATAGATTCATGAAAATGAGCCTCTTTCTTTTTCCTCTCTCATTTTCTCCTTGTGAGATTTCTTGATACATTCCAAACGTGGTTTTTGAAAAAAAACAAAAAAAAACACGGTACCTGCCATTTTAAAATGCATTACATTTGTTCCAAAGTGCCAGTGAGCTGTCGCTTTAAAATTGCCTTGCTGACATCATGCCGTTGCATTGCATGAGCTTTACTTTCTCTGCTTTTGCCTTAATTGCTTAAAAAAAAAAATAGAGCCACAGGGGGGTAAAAATGCTGCCTAGCTAATAGCTACCCTGCAGGGTCCCTGTTATAGGCATGCCCCATCTCCATTTCCTCAGAGGAACCTCCTCCAGATCCCAGCCCTAAGCTAAACATTTCCTCAGTACCACCAGTTGCGTTTGTTTTTTTACCCTGCACTTTTGGACTTCCCAGTTTGGCTGCTGGGAAGAGAAATGAGCTGACTGGTTCTTGAAACTCAGGATATCCAGGCAGGCAACTCCTGGGTACAAGGCTGCCTTAAAAGCATCTTGGTGGACTCCCAGATGGATGGCCGTTTTCTCAAAAGTGGGGCGAAGTGGGACCAGACTTCTTGCCAAATTGTGGAGGGGTTCTGTTCCTTCTGCAGGAGTCTCAGTCAGCAAAGACCCCTCAAGTTCTTTAACGCCAGTTAAACAGCAGCAGCAGCAGCATATATTGCTCCTGTTGGACTATTTCGCAGTAAGGTGGGGAGCGGGCTTGTAATGTAGGTCTTTCTGGGTACCTATAGGGAATTCTAATACCAGAGAAGAAAATGCCCTAGATGAGATCTTCAAAATCAAATTATCCAAGCAGAAAATGGTAGCCAAAGGGTCTTGACAAATATTTGGGTGAGGGTATCTCACAAGATCACCTCATTTCTCTGCCATGCTCTGCCCACTCCAGGAACCCTGCCAACCATGATCTCCTGCTGCAGTTTCTGTTTTGGCGTTCTTACCTCTCCTCCTCAAATCACGCTGTCCTTCAGAATAACGTTTTGAGAACTAAATCGCTTGCCAATGTATCATGTCTGCCATTGTCTTAATATAATGTACTTATAACTCTAAAAAAATTGTAAATGTTTACATTATTCCCAAGGGAAATAATAACATGGGTTTGGGTCAAGAGATGGATGCTGTGGAGAATTAACTCTACTATTCTGATTCTGCATCATGTTGTAGATTGCATTGTGATGTGGTGTGGTGTTCATTCATTCAGGGTTTTTTTTTTTCCCTTTAAAAATAAATGAACCTTGGCTACTGGAAGTAGAAGCTGTGTTTATGTAATGTCAGATGAAATACTCTGTTCAGTCTTTTGGAAAAAGGTTTTAGGATTGAAAGATTCTTCAGAATAAGAAGTTGTACATTAGATGGCCTATTTCAACATTTTTGGAGCACTCGTTTTGGAAACTGCACATATTTGCCATCTTAAAAGACCTTTTATAAAAAGTGCTATATTCATAGTGATGCCTTATGACACAGAGTTTCACTGTTTTTCCAAATTCCTCTGTCTGGTTTTAGGTGAAAATTTCTTTGTGTGAACAGAATTGCTAATCCTAGTTTTTTAAAAAAACAGAACCCAATATATATAAAATTGCGATTACATTAAATAACTAGACAGTTAAAAGGGGATTTCATCTAACTGGATTCAGATGCCTGAGGTAAATATATTTTATGTATCTACATATATATAATAAAAAATAGAAATATAAAATGCATAACAAATAACACTAGAGTACTCTAATTCTTGCGGGGGGAGTAATTCATAAATAATAAAATTGAATAAGTAGCTTGCATATAAGTTGCCAAAAGATTGCCAATAGCAAAAAATACAACATACAGTTAGCCCTCAATTTACAACCATTTGTTTAATGACTGAAGTTACAGCAGCAGTGGAAAAAGACTGAATCCCCAGTTTTCACATTAACAACCATTGCAACATCCCATGGCCACATCAATACATGGTCATAAATACATGCCAATTGAGCACTTGGCAACTGGCATCTATTTATGGCAGCTGCAGTAGAGTCCCAAAACAACTGGCACACCACTTGAACATCATTGGCATTGACAAATTCACCATCAGTCAATTGCAAAAGACAGCTTTACTGGGAACAGATACCTCTAATACCATCAAACATTCACTTCTGCGTATCCCGGGTTTTTAAGAAGGACTTGACAGGAAGATAAAAAATGCCAAATCCAGTCTGAACATCTGTCTCTGGCTCCGAGATGGACCATAATGATAATTATATAATGTATCGCAGACAAATATCCACCAGTAGATAACAGATTCCCATTACGCAAATACTCTCACTTCCTGGTTAACACAACACTTAATTATTAAGTTCACTACTTCAGGAACATGTTATATTTACAGTCATTACTACAACCTTAATGAAATTCTTTACAAGTTCTGATTGAGAAAATGAATGTTTTCGTATTCAATTCCATTTTTACGACTCTTAATTCCTTAATTTGGGGTAGAGACTGGGTGACTGGACGGAGCTGAGCGTTTACTGGCTGGATGTCCTTTCTGATGCCTTTGTGGCGTTCACAGCAGATATTTTTTCTTCGCACCCTAGGAGGGGAACAACTGCCACTACCTAGGGTTGAACTCTCAACCTTCTGAGCGGGAGGCAAGCATCTTCACCACTAGGCCACTATGCTGCTCTTTCCTATTATGCTTTTTTAGTTGCAGAAAAAGAGATTGAGGATCTGTAGTGTGGCAAAAGATGTTTCTCAATGTCTTCTTAGTTTCTACTGCTCTCTTAAACTACAAAATTGTCCCACAGGAAGCAGCGCTGCCCCTTTGGGGAAATGCTGATTTAAATTGTGTTTAAAGAACAATGGAGTTCACCCACAATTAGATTAGAATTAATTTAAATCCCCTTCATTTGAGGGTATAGTCCCAATTTACGTGGCAGCTCAACAAGTTCAACCTGTCTGTTTTACATCTCGCAGGGAGGGGAAAAGCTATTTTTATCTAAGTCTTTGGCGGGTACAAAATAGTGCCCGAATTAATTTAGCACAAGCCATGATATTAGCCTTTTGTTTGTGAACAGAGCTCTGCCTGTTTTCCTTTAATGTTTCCTTTCCCAGCTGAGGATTGTTTTGCATTTTTGCTTGTCCACTTCATAGTTTCACAAATTGTTTCTCTCTCCCTGTTTTTCCATGTTAAATCAGCTTCTCATTATAAATGATGAACCAGCTCTCTGAAAAGATTCTAATGCTGGGAAAGGCAGAAGGAAAGAGAAGAGGATGACTGGCAGTAAATAACCAATGTTGATGGGGGCACCTTTGGAAAATCTGAAGGACCAGGTTAGGAACAACAGAATAACTCCATTGGAAGGGACCTGGAAGGTCTTCTAGTCCAACCACCTACTTAAGCAGGAAACTCTATACCAGGGGTCCCCAACCTTTTGGGCAATAAGGATCACTTCTGTGGAGAAAGGTTTTTTTGCGGACTGGAAGGGTTTATGGTTTTGCATCCTGTGGATGGGGCTTCACTTGTTTGTGCAGACCAGTTGCTGGCATGCCTTGGATCGATGCTGGTCCACAAACCGGGGGGGGGGGGGTGTTGGGGACCCCTGCCCTATACCATTCCAGACAAATGGTTGTCCAATTTTTTTCTTAAAAACCTCTTTGTGGCTCCTAAGAGTCAACACTGACTTGATGGCACACAGTCAACTTAAATCAGTTTGAAGGAGATTGCTTATCTGAGCTGCCCACAGTTTTCAGCCTGTATGTCTTGATTCTAGCAGGAAATGCAGTGGAAGAGATTTCAGATCCCTTAAAAGGACCAAGGAGCTGCTGATAGAGTTCTACAGAGGAATGATTGAGTCTGTCGTTTCTACTTCTAGAACTGTCTGGTTTGGCACAGCAACCAAAACAGGACAGGTACAGACTTCAATGGATAGTTAGGCTTGCAGAAAAGAAAAGAAAAAACAATTGCAACCAGCCGGCCTTCCATTGAGGACCTGTGCATTGCATGGGTCAGAAAGAGGGCTGAGAAAATATCTACAGACCCCCTCACATCCTGGACATAAATTGTTTCAACTCCTCTCTTGGGACACTGCTACAGGACGTTGTATGCCAAAATAACTATCCTTTGTGCCATAACCGCTGAACACCTAATTCCCACAGTACTGTCTTATGTCTAAGGATATTTACCTATATAGTAGAGGTGTATTGCTATTACCCTTATCTTTTCATCTTTCCTACTATCTTCTCCTATTGGTATCATGATTTATCACCTGTTGTTTGCCTTTTATGATTTACGATTGTATCTTATGATTTATGATCCATGCCTTACCACAGTTTGCATGTACGCCAGAGGTGGTATTCAGCAGATTCTGACCAATTCTGGAGAATCGGTAGCGAAAATTTTGAGTAGTTTGGAGAATTGGCAAATACCACCTCTGACTGGAGATTTTACAGTATCCTCCTGCTGCACCCACGAAGCCGTGCTCACAGAAATGGTAGTAAAAGAAATTGAATCCCACCACTGCCTAGGAAGAATGCCTTTTCTGTCACAATGCCTGCCCTCTGGAATGGCCCCTGCGCAGAGATTTGAATATGGTAGCTGATGTCATTCAGAAAATAATTGAAAACCTCTCTTTTCTGGCAGGTGGGGTTGCTTTCTGGATACGTATGTTTTATTTCTTTATATTTTGTCCTTCCTCCTTTTTAAAAAGTAATCCACAAAGGGTTGTTTGAAGTCAGGCAACCTCTATAAGTAAATATATAGGTAGAGGACTGACAGAATTCCTGAAATAGTCACATTTAGAGTAACACTGCAAAAAGAATCTAAACAAATACCATTTCACTTCTCTGTCTCTAAAAGGAAGCCCTGTCCACCCGTCTGCTTCATTTATCTTATTCAAGTTGATTAAAGCTCTGAAATAATTGAGTTCTTTCACAGACCATTTCTCATCGGAAAGACTGGCTTTCATTCCAAGCAGCTTAACAGAGATTAAACCGAAGGGGTTACTTCCCATCTTCGGGTGCCAAGTGGGAGAAGAAAGCTTATGATGGCCTATCAACCCAAACGACACCCTCCCATCACCCTTCCTACTAGTGATGATAAGGAAAAGTAAATGCCACTCTCGTGGATCTACAGCAAGAGAATTGGAGCATTTGGATGTTCAGTGTGCACACAAGCATCGCTTTTTGCCATCTGCCATCTGGACTTCAGTTAGAAGTTTGCATTGTGCACAGATGGGACGCCAGAAGGTCAATGGATGGAAAGGGCAGCTGCCTTCAGCCAGGGTGGGAAAAAGAAAGCTGCTTGGAGCAGGATCTCCTGTCTCCAGATCGTGTGCTAGCTTTTGCTCCCCACACAATATTAGCTTTTATTTTTAAAGGCAGTTTTATTAAAAATTAAAGTAATCAAAACTATAAACTAAAAAAATGACAAAAAATAAAGGGTGCAGAAAAAAATTGGAAAAAAATGGAAAAGAAAAATAGGAATATAGTAAAGAAATATATAAAGAAACGACTTCTTCATCACAAGTTTAAATTTTAGTAATTTGTCTCTTAAAAGAATTCAACTAATTATCTCTTCTTTCCATATCCCTTTTTGGATCTATAAACAAGTCCTTAAAATCTGATCATTCTGAAGGAAGTGAATAAGTTGCTTGGATGAGAAGTGAAAAACAAAAACCAAGAAACTTTTTTGAAGAAGCACCTTTGGGACAACCATGACCTGGATGACTTGAGGATCTTCGTAGACATTAAGTTATTTCAGTTTGATCTGCAAAAGTCCATTATGGATCACTAGAGATAACAACATATGTTAACCTTGATTAGATAAATCAATTTTATATTCCTTCCTTTTACTTTCAAGAATCTTGATCTTTAGTCCTTTCAAGTATTATCCTAGAACTTGATTTCATTTTATAATAAAATTTTTCAAAGCTTTAACCCATCTCTTTTGTAAATACAATATATGAAAATTATCCAGGTCATTCTTTCATTTGTTATTTTTAGACCCCTTTTAATTACCAATATATCAACTGGATTCATTTATCCAGTGTAGCATCTTTTTCCCTACCATTCTTGTAGCCTGCCATTTTTAAACCCACTTTCAGATCAGTCTCGGTTTTGTTTGGAAAACTTGTTCCCCTTCCGCATTTTTTAAACACAAACTACCTTATAGAGGCAGACACTCTTAACATTAACTTATTTTAACCATTTGCCTGGGATGGCATGAGAACTACTGTTTTGGGCAGGGGGTTGGACTCAGAGGTGGTATTCAGCAGGTTCTGACCAGTTCTGGAGAACTGGTAGCGGAAATTTTGAGTAGTTC